TTTCAAACCCAAAAATGTGATTTTTATGAAACTTTGGAGTTTCATATCTTCTTCATCCGGACTCTGAATCAAGTGATTCTTGGGTCTAATTTGATTAAATTTTTGTTGTCTTTCTAGTGGTGTGCTCATTAGCACTTGATTTTATATTTTTAGAAATGACCATTTTGCCCTTGGGGGCCTGTTCGGTCTTTTTCTGATCATTCGTTCCCGCATTAGTTCTTATTGAGTTCCACGACCTCATGGGAGGTCACTTTGACTTCTAAGAGTCTTGTTTTCTGTTTTCATTTCCGCATTCGGATCCGTTATCGGATCATCCTTACGGTTTATCACAGGACACGCTAGCCTAAAAACCAGCGTCGTCACACCAGTGGTATTTTGACAAATGATACCTTTCCAAATCGAAAAAGACTTCCTTGAACTTTTTATAAGATGAATTAAGAGGAATTTTGAGGGATTGTACTAACCTTAAGTTATGTTAATTGTGTAATTTGTTTTTCCAAAAATGAGAGATGAAGAGAGAGAAATGGTAGGTGAAGAGAGAGAAAGGACATTTTGGTTGTTAAGACATACATTTATAAAATTCCATCATATTAAAAAAGTTGACTTTGGGTCCTTAATTTTGACATAAGGCATGCATAATTCCATTTTTAAGAAATTATCCCTTTTTAAATTATACTCAAATTGAAATTTCTGGTGGACTCTACAACTGGTTTAGCTCAATAAGGCCTATAGTTGAACACACACCATCACAATTGTCCAGTAGTTGAACTATACGTGCATCAATAATTGAAGTTCTAATTTTTTTAATGAATGGCTCCATTTGAATGCTACCTGAATCAATAATTGAAGTTCTTAATGACCGAGTCAAAGTTGATGTAACTTTCTCTTTAATGGTCCTGTGATTTGATTTACCCTCACAAGGTTTCAACATAAACATCATGTGTTCTTTGTTTTAGTTGCTTTATGTGATTATAATTGGCTTGACTATTGTGTTGTTGCTTCGTGTCGATTGATGAATCTTTTTTGGTCCTTTCCCTTCTCCTTCCCAGTATTAATTTATGTGTTCTGTCTGAAAGAAATGGCTTCGACTTTGAGAGGACTTTATACGAATCAATGGTGACTCACTTTTAAATTTTCCTGATTTGTTTGCTTGCTTGCATGACTTTGAATTTTTAGAATACTACTTTAAATGCACCTATCTCATATGCAAATGCACCAAAGTATTAGATTTTGAAGTGTGGAGGGTTATTGTAAATGGAGTAATGGACCACTTATTCCTATAAACATTGTAGGAGATCTTGAGGAAAATAAGGAAGAACATGAATGGGATGCCAATAACTTTAAACAAGATGTCTAAAGTTATTGTAAATGGACCACTTATTTATTTATATTTATATTTATATTTATATTTATTATTATTATTATTTTATCGTTTTATGCAAACAGAAGTGAAGTTAATAATAAATTAATAATTGATTACCAGCTTGGGCTAATGGACTAATATGTCTAGTTGGGTTGGGTTGTGGCAAATGGACTAATATGTCTAGTTGGGTTGGGTTGTGTTTGCCTAATTTCATATAAAGGTCTACAAATCAGGTGAATGTTGTCTTGGTCCATTACACAAATACAATATAGAGAACTTCGACACAAAGTGAATTTTGTGCTGGACTCTACAACTGGTGTGCACTTCAATAAGGCAGAGAGTTGTATCACAGAGTCGCACACTTCCCAAAAGTTATTCGTTTAAGATATCATATTAGTGAACAAGTTGTCGCTTTGGATTATGTGGCTATGAGTTGACGATTGTCTTAAAACATTTCTTCACCTGCGCTCCACTTGTCTTAATTAGAAAATGAAATTACTGTTCTTCATTTTACTATATGCATGTGCTCAGTTTATTTGGATTTTTGGATGTAAAATATTTTTTTTAATTTTTAATTTTTGGTTTTCGTAAAATATTTAAGAAGAAAAATAATATTAAAACTTAACAAAAATAATTTATTCATTAATTTTCACAAAGTTATCTTTACACCCCTTATCTATGGCTTTGATCTACACCTTTATTAAATATTGAAAAATAAAAATAAAAAAATATATTTGATCTAAACAAAAAAAAAAAAATTTGTCACGGAACCACAGTGGCACTCATGAAAAGGACTAAAAATAAAATTAGATTTGTTTTCTATGATAAGTAGGAAAATGACTCTTATTGACCGAGTCAAAGTTGATACAATTTTCTCTTTGATGAAAATGTAGTGGATTTATTCTGCTTTGAAATATGATCATGTGATTTGATTTGCCTTGGACTGTTGTGTGATGCCGGATGCTTGGTGTAATTTGATTTGCCTTGGATTGTTGTGTGGTGTGGGATGCTTGGTGTAATTTGTTTGCTTGCAAGACTTTAAATCCCGAATGGCCAACTATTATAATATGTAATTATATAATATAAATTGCCATAATTGCCCTTATATAAAATTTTATGTGTTCTTTGTTTTAGTTGCTTTATGTTATTATAATTGGCTTAATTGTGGTGTGGTTGCATTGTGTCAATTGATGAATCCTTTTGGATCATTTCCCTTCTCCTTCTCATATTATTAATTTATGTGTTATGTCCGAAAGAAATGGCATCGACTTTGAGATGATTTTAAATTACAGAAAAAAAAACTTTCATGTTCATATTTATACTAATCAATGATGACTCACTTTTAAGTCTTCCTGATTTGTTTCCTTGCATGACTTTGATTTTTCAGAAGACTACTTTAAATGCATCCTATCTCATACACAAATGCCCAACTCACATAACTAAGTATGAAATCTATGAGGGAAAAAATAATAATAATGGCACACATGAAAATGACTCTTTTTAAAATTTCCAACTCCCTTCCCCGACCTCCATCCCTCATCTCCTTTTTGTCCTCTTTTTCTTTTTCTGGAGGAAATTTCTATCATCTTTTCAAATTTTCCATTTTTCTACTCTTGATCGACTTTTAGTTTTAATTTAAGGGTTTATTAGTTTCACTTCTCTTTAGGTTTTAGCATGTGTGCTCAACGATGCCTCTATCATTTTCTTTCCGCAAATCTGTTGAGCAAGTTTTATAAAATGATAAATATTTTACCTTTTTCTTAATATGAAAAGACAATAATAATCTTATTTATTGCTATATAATGTACTATTATTGTTAGATATTAATTTTGGAATTGGTAACTTGTCCGATAGAGTTGTAATTTTTGTTTTATTTTGAGTCTCGATGTCGGAAGCAGAACAACAAGTGCAATCAATATGTGCTCAACTTTGATTTGTATAAGAACATCATGTTACAAAAGGTATGTTGGAGAGGATACTTTATTTTTCATCTTTGGTGAGTTTTTGAGTTCGTCAGTTAGAAAATTTTCATAGTTCTATTTTACTAAAGTGCACTACCATTGCAGAACCAATTGCCCTAAAATGCAATTGGTTGCGCTACTGAATTTTTGTTTTTAAAGAAAATTCACTGCCTTAGCGAAACCGGTCGCGTTGCAATTTGAATCCAATTGGGTTTCTTTTTTTTTTAATCAGATTTTGGGGAGTTATTTTTGCACGAATTTGACTTGGTTTTCAAGTATTTTTAAGTCTTCCGAACATCTATAAAATCTCTCTTTTACTCCTAAATTATAGATAACTTTTTGGAACTTAGTTTACTGTAATTTTGAGAAAGCCTTTTGAGAGTGTGACGATTGAAATTTGGTGAATCCGAGTTATTACAGGGCAATGCTACACAATCCTGTGGATCCGACTTTAAATTACAACCATTGATGAATTATTCGCACAATAGAATAGAAAAGATCTTCCATGTTCATATTCATACTAATCAATGGTGACTCACTTTTAAGTCTTCATAATTTATTTGCTTGCATGACTTTGATTTTTCAGAATACTTAGAATGCACCCTTCTCATACGCAAATGCCCAAACTCTCATAAAGGACTAAATATGAAATCTATGCTAGTGAGGGGAAAAAAAAATAGTGGTGCACATGAAAACACAAAGATGAAAAAGGACTCTTTCACATGGTGTGGGTTTCGTTCTCTGGTTTTGGTATGAAAAGACTGTCTTATCCTTATGAACCCTAGGGTCCCGGAGCAGACCCGAAGCTATGGTTATCTTATGTTTATGAAACGAAATTGTTTAAAATGTCCGTTATGACCCCAATATGACTTTTATAGCATAGTAAGAAGCAAAATGACCATTTTGCCCTTGAGTGTCCTTGGATTCGAGTAAGGACCAGGTTAGGGATTTGGCCCCAATCTGATTGGTTACATGATTTTGTGCAGAAGATTCTGGCTTGTCCATCTGATCGGTTATATGAGCCATCTGATCGATCAGATGCCCTCATCTGATTGGTTACATGGTTTAGAGAAACAACCTGCTCTCTGTTTTGGTCATCTGATCAATCACTTGGAGTTGATCGGTTATTAGATGGGCTCATCTAACCGATCAGATGCCCTCATCTGATTGGTTACATGGTTTAGAGAAACAACATGCTCTCTGTTTTGGTCAAATGATCGATAACTTGGAGTTGATCGGTTAGATGAACTTCGGTTTGCACCTTCGACCTTGAACTTCATTCTAATCTCACTATTGACCCAGGGTTCCACTCAAATAACTTGGTAATCATTATAAATGACCATTTTGCCCTTAATTTACCTTCGAGTTCGAGCAAGTACCCGACTTGTGTTGCACCACCTGATAGCGATCCGAATCCAACGGGTTCAAGTTGTTATAGTCTCTGATATGATCTTAAAGCAAGAATTTAAGAAACCTCACCATGATGACTACCCAAATAAAGTTCAAGATTTATTTTTTAACCCTAACCTAGCTCTAATTGGTAAATATGATTATCCAAATTCATTAAAAAAAAAAAAGAAAAAAAAAAAGGTCAGGTATAGATTAGCCTGGTTATGTTGCACAAGTTGTACCCCTAATTTGAATACACCTTTCCAGCTTAAATTGAGCAAAAACTATGGAGAATATGAAAGTGATTTTATTATTCTTTGGACAAGTAGACTTTATATACGTTTTAATTAATTTGACATGCTTAATTAAGTTCAAAATTACACAATACTACCTTTGCATATCATCAATTGTTATGCTCATATCAGCATGGGATGAAGTTGGTACCCCTAATGCGTTGTTGTCTGTTTGATCATGTACTGACGCATCATTGTAATATAGGAAAGGCTTGGGAGGCATTTGCAGTAGCTCCTCCCCCCCTTCTAGCATTTGCAGTACTTCACTCATGGTGGGACGATCCACGGGCTTCAGTTGTATGCACCACAATGCAGTTATGATCATCTTCCTCACACAACTTCTTTCTTGTTCATTCGCATGTCCCAACTGCAAGTCCTCTCCTTGCTTGATATGGTCATAAATCCAATATGGGAAGTATATTTGACTTGTGTGCTCTGCATGAGCATTCCAATTTTTCCTTTTCCCCACCATTTCCATCAATAGCATACCAAAGCTATAAACATCAGCCTTATATGACACACCTCCAATGTTCTTATAAAACAGTTCGGGAGCAATATATCCAAGTGTTCCCCTTGCTGTAGTGAGAGAGACAATACTATCATCTGTTGGGTACAATTTTGCCAGGCCAAAGTCAGAAACTTTTGGGACAAAGCCTTGGTCAAGAAGAATATTGTGAGGCTTGATATCAAAATGCAGAATTTGCATGTCACAGCCTCGATGTAAGTATTGAATCCCTCGAGCCACTCCAACTGCAATTTCATATATTCTTTCCCAATTAATGAATGGTAGAGTCTTTTCTCCACGTGAGAAAATGAACTTATCAAGAGATCCATTAGGCATGAAATCATACACAAGAGCTCTTTTAGATCCCTCTGAACAAAATCCAACCATTCGCACCACATTAACACGATGAATCCTTCCTATCGTGGCGACTTCACTAATGAAATCTTGCCCATTGGCTTTTGACATGCCCAGTACTTTTATTGCTACAAGATCACCACTTCGGAGCTTGCCTTTGAACACTGACCCGTATCCCCCTTGACCTATCTTATCCCGGAAACTTGTAGTTATTTTCTTTATATCTGAATAGGAATACCTAATTGGCACGAAGTTGTTTTGACTCTGAAGAAAATTTTCAATGGTGTCATCGATGGACAAGTGTCTTCGCTGGAATCTATATGCCAGCAATATAATCAAGCATAACAGCCCAATTGAAATCCTTAGTATGATGTAGACTCCTAAAAGAGAGAGGGAGAGTAGATATTAGTACATGGTTAATTAATTGGTCATATGCAGAGAACAATATTTGCATTTAATATTGGGACTATTCTTTGTTTTTTGTTGGCTATTTGTCAATTTGTTTTACCGTCGGACCTAGTGACTAACCAAGCTAACATGTGAGAGAGGAAGAGATGAAGTTATCCATTTTAACTCACCTACGGTGATGATCTTGTGCTCTGATAGACGAATCACCCAGAAAGAGGGAAAAAATATTCATCAAAATGAAGTACATAGAAAACATAAAAAATCAATTAAAAATAAGAAATTGATGGAATGACGATAACCTTACTTTTGCGGTGGTAAATAAAGTCTTCAAGGAAATACTTTAACCTGAATTCAACCGACCGATTGAAGTGAAATTAGCACCAAGAAATAAGAAAATAATTTGTTTTTGTATGTGTTTATAAGAAGCATTAAATATTGGCATGCATTTGGTACCTCATCCTGAATGGAAGTTGGTCATAATTCCGAAACCAAAGCTGAAACCCTCGAAGCAACTCCTGGTGAATATCGGAAATAGTGAGGCTGCTCGGGACTTCAATGAACGGCGACGGATACATAACGTTGATGGTGCAGGAGTCATGGATTTCCAATGCACTTGAAACATTAAACACAACATACGACTTTGTTTTGGTGTTGACGCAAGAAGAGAAATCTATGTAGTTTGAAGAATTCACTGGGCTTGCACAACTCACAAAATATATAAAATCAATCATTCCATAAAATTTATCATAATAATAATAATTGAAAGGGTAAGTGGAAAGAAGCGGGAAGGAATTGGCGGGAACAGAGCACTGATCGTTGTCTAGATGGGCATCTACCAATCTTAAGAATCCCTTTTCGTAAGAGATGCCTTGGACATAGTATTTAAGTGCTCCTGCAGACAAGTACATAGTTGTGCGATTGTTCTCACAAGACAATTCGTGGTAATGGTCACCCCAGCTACGAGCATGGCCTTTCAAGTGAAAAGGGTAGCTGATATTACCAATGGTTCCGCAAGAAGAAGGGTTTTGAATGGCAATATAAGTTTCAGGAAACAGAACAACTACAATAGCAGTAAGCCCAACTATACTTCTATATCTTCTTAATGCTATTGAAATCATATGTGAGTTCTTGGTCGTGGGCATTTGTGTATGGCTCAGAGAGAGAATTTAAGCCTGATGGTGAGTTTGATTAATATGAATATGAACTTTCGTTGGTGGCTCTGTAATTTAAAGTAGTCTCAAAGGGATAATTAATAGTGGGGCTAGTAGGAGGAACTAAAGGAGGAAGGAGAAGGGAAAGGACTGGAAAGGATTCATTAATTGGCATCGATGGCAACAGATGAAGGGCTGGAAAGAACCAAAAAAAAAAAAAATCTTTTTTGAAAAAAATATTTTTCATCACGGAAACACAGTGGCACTCATGAGAAGGACCAAAAATGAAATTAGATTTGTTTTCTACTATAAGCATGAAAAGGGCTCTTATAGACCGAGTCAAAGTTGATGCAATTTTCTCTTGGACGAAAATGTAGTGAATTTACTTTGTTCTGAAATACGGTCCTGTGATTTGATTTGCCTGTTGTGTGGTGTGGGATGCTTGGTGTAATTTGATAAATTATCCACATAAAAAAATTGAAAAAAACTTCCTTGATTATTCATAAATTATTCAGAATAATCAACTCATTCAGAATACAGACATAGAATACTCACATTGGTTATATAAAAAAATAGCATAAGTTACACAGGAGAGTGGAAAAAAAATAAAAAATAAATAAATTAAATACAAATATAGGTTTATTTGAAAATTTACAATTTGAAAAGTGTGAGTTTTGATCTTGAGAAACAGAGTCTATGCCACTTCAAATCAACATATTAACCAGCCAGGATAGAATTTCTTCTTACCTTCATATTTATATTAATCAAAGTTGACGGACTTTTAAGTCTTCCTCTTTTGTTTGCTTGCATGACTTTGAATGCAGAATGACCAACTATTATAATATGTTATTATATAATATAAAGTGCCATAATTGCCATTATATAAAATTTTATGTGTTCTTTGTTTTAGTTGCTTTACATTATTATAATTTGGCTTGACTTTCGTGTGGTTGTATCGTGTCGATTGATGAATCCTGTTCGGTCATTTCCCTTCTCCTTCCCATATTATTAATTTCTGTGTTATGTCCGAAAAAAATGGCTTCGACTTTGAGACGACTTAAAAATACAGAAAAAAAAACTTTCATTTTCATATTCATACTAATCAATAGTGACTAACTTTTAAGTCTTCCTGATTTGTTTGCTTGCATGACTTTGATTTTTCAGAAGATTACTTTAAATACACCCATGTCATACGCAAATGCCCAATTCACATAAACTTCTAAATATGAAATCTATGAGGAAAAAAATAATAATAAAGGCACACCTGAAAACAGAGAAATGACAATGGCTCTTTTTAAAATTTCTAACTCCCTTCCCCGACTTCCATCCCTCGTCTCCTTTTTGTCCACTTTTTCTGGAGGAAATTTCTATCATCTTTTCAAATTTTCCACTATTCTACTCTTGATCGACTTTTAGTTTTAATTTAAGGGTTTATTAGTTTAACTTCTCTTTAGGTTTTAGCGCGTTTGCCCAACGATGCCTCTATCATTTTCTTTCCGCAAATCTGTTGAGCAAGTTTTATAAAATGATAAATATTTTACCTTTTTCCTAATATGAAAAGACAATAATAATCTTATTTATTGATATATAATGTACCATTATTGTTAGATATTAATTTTGTAATTGGAAAAATTCAGTGTCAAAACCTATCCGATAGAGTTGTAATTTTTGTTTTATTTTGAGTCTCGATATTGGAAGCAGAACAAGAAGTGCAATCAATATGTGCTCAACTTTGATTCATATAAGAACATCATGTTACAAAAGGTATGTTGGTGAGGATACTTTATTTTTCATCTTTGGTGAGTTTTTGAGTTCGGCACTTAGAAAATTTTCATAGTTCTATTTTACTAAAGTGCACTGCCCTTGCGGAACCGATCGCCCTAAAATGCAATTGGTTGCGCTACTGAATTTTTGTTTTAAAAGAAAATTCAATGCCTTAGTGAAACAGGTCGCGTTGCGCTCCATTTTGAAACTAATATGGTAATTGCAATTTGAGTCCAATTAGGTTTCTTATTTTTTTATTTTATTATAATTTTTTTTTTTTTTTTTCAGATTTTGGGGAGTTATTTTTGCATGAATTTGACTTAGTTTTCAAGTAATATTAAGTCTTCCTAACATCTATAAAATCTTTCTTTTACTCCTAAATTATAGATGACTTTTTGGAACTTAGTTTACTGTAATTTTGAGAAAGCCTTTGAGAGTGTAACGATCGAAATTCGGTGAATCCAAGTTATTAGCGGGCGATGCTACATAATCTGGTGGTCCATCTTTAAATTACAACCATTGATGAATTATCTGCACAATAGAATAGAAAAAAACTTCCATGTTCATATTCCTACTAATCAATGATGACTCACTTTTAAGTCTTCCTGATTTGTTTACTTGCATGATTTTGATTTTTTAGAATACTTAGAATGCACCCATCTCATACGCGAATGCCCGACTCTCATAAAGGACTAAATATGAAATCTCTGCTAGCGAGGGGAAAAAAATAGTGGTGCACATGAAAACAGAAACATGAAAAGGACTCTTTCACATGGTGTGGGTCTCGTTCTCTGGTTTTGGTATGAAAAGACCATCTTATCCTTATGAACCCTAGGGTCCTAGAGTAGATCCGAAGCTATGGTTATCTTATGTGTATGAAACAAAATTATTGAAAATGTCCGTTATGACCCTAATTTGACTTTTATAGCATAGTATGAAGCAAAATGACCATTTTACCCTTGAGTGTCCTCGGGTTCGGGTAAGGACCCAGTTAGCGATTTAGCCCCCATCTGATCGGTTATACGATTTTGTGCAGAAGATTCTAGCTTGTCCATCTAATCGATTAGATGAGCAATCTGATCGATTAGATGCCCTCCTCTGATTGGTTATATGGTTTAAAGAAATAACCTGCTCTCTATTTTGGTCATTTGATCGATCACTTGGAGCTGATCAGTTATTAGATGGGTTCATCTAACCGATCAGATGCCCTCATTTGATTGGTTACATGGTTTAGAGAAACAACATACTCTCTGTTTTGGTGATCTGATTGATCACTTGGAGTTGATCGGTTAGATGAACTTGTGTTTGCACCTTCGACCCTGAACTTCATTCTAATCTCACTACTTAAATAACTTGGTAATCATTGTTAATGGCCATTTTTCCCTTAAGTTAACCTCGAGTTCGGGTAAGAACCTGACTTGTGTTGCACCACCCAATATCAATCTGAATCTAACAGGTTTGGGTCGTTACACTCTCTAATATAATCTTAAAGCAAGAATTTAAGAAACCTCACCATGATGACTACCCAAATAAAGTTTGAGTTTTATTTTTTTTAACCCTAACCTAGCTCTAATTGGTAAATATGATTATCCAAATTAAAAAAAAAAAAAAAAGGTTAGGTATAGATTAGCCTAGTTATGTTGCACAAGTTGTACCCCTAATTTGATTTACACCTTTCCAGCTTAAATTGAGCAAAAACTATGGAGAATAGGAAAGTGATTTTATTATTCTTTGGACAAGTAGACTTTATATATGTTTTAATTAATTTGACATGCTTAATTAAGTTCAAAATTACACAATACTACCTTAGCATATCATCAATTGTTATGCTCATATCAGCATGGGATGAAGTTGGTACCTCTATTGGGTTGTTGTCTATTTGATCATGTACAGACACATCATTGGAATATAGGAAAGGCTTGAGAGGCATTTGTAGTAGCTCCTCCGCCCCTCCCCCCCCCCCCCCCCCCTCTTCTAGCATTTATAGTACTTCACTCATGGAGGGACGATCCACGGGCTTCAGTTGTATGTGGCACAATATAGTTATGATCATCTTCCTCGCACAACTACTTTCTCATTCATTGGCATGTCCCAACTGCAAGTCCTCTCCTTGCTTGATATGGTCATAAATCCAATATGGGAAGTATATTTGACTTGTGTGCTCTACATGAGCATTCAAAATTTTCCTTTTCCCCACCATTTCCATCAATAGCATACCAAAGCTATAAACATCAGCCTTATATGACACACCTCCAATGTTCTTATAAAACAGTTCGAGAGCAATATATCCAAGTGTTCCCCTTACTGTAGTGAGAGAGGCAATACTATCATCTGTTGGGTACAATTTTGCAAGGCCAAAGTCTAAAACTTTTGGGACAAAGACTTGGTCAAGATGAATATTCTGAGGCTTGATATCAAAATGCAAAATTTGCATGTCACAGCCTCGATGTAAGTATTCAATTCCTTAAGTCACCCTAACTGCAATTTCATACATTCTCTCCCAATTGATGAATGGTAGAGTCTTTTCTCTTCATGAGAAAATGAACTTATCGAGAGATCCATTTGGCATGAAGTCATATACGAGAGCTCTTTTAGATCCCTGTGCACAAAATCTAATTATTTGCACCACATTAACATGATGAATCCTTCCTATCGTGGCGACTTCACTTATGAAATCTTGCCCATTGGCTTTTGACATGCCCAACACTTTTACTGCTACAAGATCACCACTTCAGAGCTTGCCTTTGAACACTGAACCGTATTGCCCTTGACCTATCTTATCCTGGAAACTTGTAGTTATTTTCTTTATATCTGAATAGGAATACCTAATTAACATGAAGTTGTTTCGACTCTGGAGAAGTGTCGTCGATGGACAAGTGTCTTCGTTGGAATCTATACGCCAGCAATATAATCAAGCATAACATCCCAATTGAAATCCTTAGTATGATGTAGACTCCTAAAAGAGAGAGGGAGAGTAGATATTAGTACATCGTTAATTAATTGGTCATATGCAGAGAACAATATTTGCATTTAATCAAAAACTTTCTTTGTTCTTTGTTGGCTATTTAATCAAGAGATGAAGTTATCTATTTTAACTCACCTACGGTGATGACCTTGTGCTCTGATAGACGAATCACCCAGAAAGAGGGAAAAAAATTCATCAAAATGAAGTACATAGAAATCATAAAAATCAATTAAAAATTAGAAATTGATGGAATGACTGTTGACACCCATTTTGGTATTTGGGCCATAGAGGTATTTGGGCTGTAAAGATATTGGGCTGGAGACATGCGTTGTTGGGTTAAACAATGGAGTTATGTGAAGACCGAATTGTGGTTTGGTAAGGAATTGGTTTGGTATATGGGCCAATTGCATGGTGGGACTCAAATTGTTGTTTGACAAGGAGTTGGTTTGGTAGATGGGCCGATTGTAACATGGGTTTTGAAGGAAACTAGCATAACTGGTGTGTAAGGATTGGGATGAATTTG